ACCACGTTTTTAATATTTATTATATATATATATATATATATATTTTTTATTATATTATATTATATTATTATATTATATTATATATACAGTGACTCCCATTAATCTTCGGACACTTTTTAAAACGCGATAACTTCTTTAAAACTAGAATAAACGATTGGAATTTGTTTAAATAGAGGGACTAGTATACTAGACAATGGCTAAACTACTTTGTTACAGTTTTGTTGTTACTCGGAACAACAAAATTAAAGACTCTCGTTTCTCAACTTTTTTATCTGTGCCGATAATGAAAATTTAAAAAATGCGGTTTGTAGATCTCGGTGAGTTATATGCATGTTAAAATTTTCACCGAAATCGATCAACGCAAGGTCAAGTTACAAGCGTTAAAAGATTGTAAAAATCGCAAATTTCTCACACTTATCGGTGGAAAGTATCAAAAATGAAAACAAAACTGCGATTTTTTTCGATCTTCAATTGTTTACAGCTCGTACGAAGGTCAACCGACATCTGTGAAATTTTTAACGTGCATATAACTTACAATCTACAAAAGCCACATTTAAAAAATTTTTAATAAATTTTTAAAAATTATTGAACAGTATTTGTTATTTTCTTTTATCATTCTAAGCAATAGCAAAATTTAAAAAAAAAAGCATTCTAGTTATGTTCTAGTAAAAAAAGATTCAGACCGTTTAGTTCAGTTCCAAAAAAAGCTATTGCGTGTTGAAAAGTGTCCGAATATTAACGGAAATTAATATTCACTGTACGTACTCGTTACAACTAAATACAATTAACATTGAAAGAAATTTAAAAAAAAGTCATAAAAATTTCCGATCAAGATTTCATCGAATTCCCTGCAACTACCCTAAAACACTTTCTGAACAGGGTGGTGGGGGGTGTATACAGATTTGTTGCTCGCGCGTCGAAAGTATCGGATTGCCCCATATAGCCGACACACGTTTTCTGAACACCCTGGCGCGTCCCCACCATTTGCTTCGATTTCTTCCGACCGGCTACCCTCTATCCTCCTTTTCATCCGGCGACGATTCCTCCTCTATGAGCCAAATCCGCGAACAATGAACGCGGCGATGTGTCCCAGAATATCCGACTGCGTATTCCTCGCGAAACTCCAACGAAACTTCGGAAACACTCGAGGCTCGATCCTCTCGGCCCTGTAACCAGCGACCTATACGCTCGCTATACGCGAGCGAATAGAGTAACTTTCTTGGGTATCTTTCCGGTGCGAGGCAACGCTTCTGCCGGCGAAAACTACTCTCTCTTGTGCATCGTTCTGCTATCGGTTTCGTGGAAAGCAGACAACGGCGGCAGTCGACCGCGTTTCGGAAAACGGTCTAGAAAATGGACGAGAAGACACGTTGTAACACAAGAATTTGAATCTCCTAAGAAAAGCAGCTGTCGTTCCGGCAACACGATAACGCCTAAGCTTGTCGAGTCGATCGAAACGACCGGTCTCACATTTCTGATTTGAAAGCTGCTGAAATTGCAAAGACTCTTTTTCTTAGAACACACGATCGAACAAACCGAGCACAGATTCTGATAAAAATGTCGAAAGAACTGGAACAAAAACAGTCCTGCGCCGATTTTATAAAGCAAAACACATCGGTCACTTTTGAGACTGCATATACGTTTAGCGTTTAATTGACCAGTTGTTCCTCGGCGATTAACCTTTTAGGTGCGGCTGAATTCTGCGCGAGTCTATTTCTCTGGACGGCAGAGTCTGATGCTGTATGTTCCGTCGACAAAAGAAATGTAAAACAATGCATAGGAAGATGATTATTTAATTCAAACGGAGAGCGAGTGAGCTACTAGAGCGAGCCACTACAGGGTGTCCCAAAAATGTCTCGCAATCCGAAAGTGGCGGGTTCCTCAGATCATTTGAAGCAACTTCTTCCTTTACAAAAGTTTTCTCCGAGGCACCGTTAACGAGTTATTAACGAAAAACAGTGACCAATGAGTGGCGAGCTCAGCTGGCGCGAGGCGGCCGAGCCAACGGCGCCAGCGGTCGAGGCGGCCGAGCCAACAGCGCCAGCGGTCGAGGCGGTCGAATCCCAGCTCAGCTGACGCGAGGCGACCGAGCCAGCGGCTTCGTGCGCTGGTTGACTGGGCCGCCTCGCGTCAGTCGTACTCGATTCTTATTGGTCACTGTTTTTCGTTAATAACTCGTTAACGGTGCCTCGGAGAACATTTTTGTAAAGGAAGAAGTTGCTTCAAATGATCCGAGGAATCCGAGGAATCCTGATTTCCCTAGATTCATCGCCACCTATCTCCTCCAGTCCCCTCCCACCCTTTATAATCCCGTGGAATCGAACTTCTTTGTAGACAAACGCACTGAACGCAGGTTTCTACAGTAATGTCTTCCTAATTGTCGTCCAAATTGTGCGCTATAATAGACAATTTGGGAAGAGGAGACGCGATTATTCGAGCCTTGCGGCTCGTCTTTTATAATCACCGATTGTCGATAACTATAAAAACGAGCTGCAAGGCTCGAATAATCGTATCTCCTCTTCCTAAATTGTCCAGACTGTTGTAAATCGATGTGAAGACATCCGCGAAAGCCACTATAGTGGCGTGTCGTTCTGAAAGATGACATCCGCGAAAGCCACTATAGCGGCGCGTCGTGCCTAAAAGGTTAATGCGAACGAAGAAGGAAACGCGGAGACTTCGACGGCGAATTGCTCGGGTAATTAATTCGGAGAACGGCTCGCCGGCAGCGATGCTTTAAAAGCATTACACTCTTAACCCAGTTGTTTTAATGCCACGGTCACGTAAAGGTGATTATTGTCTTCGTCGTCGCCGTTATTATTGTCTCTCGCATTACCCGCCGGTTAATTGCATTACCGCGGAATTTCGTCTCGTTACGCGCCGCGCGCCGAGGCGCTCAATTGCGTCGGAGTTACGCAAGCCGCGTCCGAGTCGATCCGATCGCGATCCGAACGGGACGGACTCCTCCGAATCGGCGCGCAGTCTCGGCGAAAGCGTAAATCTTGCCGGCTAACCGGAGGAAATTGGGAGGAAATGTCTCGTAGATCGTCGAGCGTCGTCGCGTCTCTTCCCTCCGTCCGAGGAATCGGACGAGCGACGTCTGGCCGGTTTCAGGAAACGCTCTCGCGCATCGGCGCCGGCTGGGAGCGAGGCGGAAGATCAGCTGCAATTAGGCGCGATCCGATACCGTGGCCAATGTCACGGTTAACTGGGAGCGGCAATTATAATTGTAGCGAATCTGTCGCGCAATATCGCGCGGACAGACCGGGATAAAGTTCCGCGACGCGTTTCTAAACCGTGTAATTAAGTGCCGCCTCGTTGCCCGCTAATTTCCGCGATTCCGCGCGCGCGTGCACGCTCGTTCGAAGGGAATCCGGTGTTACGAGAAGTGTATCATCGACGGATGTTTCGACGTTGGCGGCCATAATCGTCTGGAAATCTGTATCGATTTCGATGGACGAAGCGTTTAAAGGCGTTTAACGCGAAATGTACCGCTGTCGATGATCCAAATGATCGATTTCAGATTATAGTAACTTTTACCAGAAATGTTCGGAGGTCGGAATTGAAATCGGCAGGTCTGAGCGTCAATTAGGGAGAATTTCGGCCCTTATCATCGACGTAGCAATAAATTACATAGGCGCAGGACTAGCACAGGGAAATTCACGGCAACCCGAAATTTGGCATTTCGGCGGGTGTTTCGACAATATGTGTTTATGAAGCAAAACACATCAGTCACTTTTGAGACTGAATACGTTTAGCGTTTAATTGACCAGTTTGTTTATTATTAATTATCGACGGATGTTTGGACATTGGCGGCCATAATCGATCGATCGGAGCGTCTGGAAATCTGTATCGATTTCGATGGACGAAGCGTTAAAGGCGTTTAACGCGAAATGTACCGCTGTCGATGATCCAAATGATCGATTTCAGATTATAGTAACTTTTACCAGAAATGTTCGGAGGTCGGAATTGAAATCGGCAGGTCTGAGCGTCAATTAGAGAGAATTTACTATACCTAGTAACTCCGCTTGACCGACTCCGTGTCGACCCTATCATCGACGTAGCAATAAATTACAGAGGCGCAGGACTAGCACAGGGAAATTCACGGCAACCCGAAATTTGGCATTTCCGGGAGAAATTGCTGTACTTGTTGAAATTATAAAGCAGCTTCCATTGAAGATCGTTATGACAAAACTTGAATAATTCAATCTCAGAATTTTTGCAGACACTTTAGATAGAATTGAATTTTGATAGACACGTTAACTCTTTGGGGCACGGTGGGTTTTAAAAATGTTCCTTTCTTTTTATGCATCGTTATTGCATGGTGGAATATTTTTATACCCACCATATATTACATATTTTATATTTTATACACATATATTATATATTTTTATACCCACATATTGCAATAGCTGCATGCGCATTCATGAACTCACGTGGCACGGGGAGACTATTTGAATCCCATCCTATAACAACGGATTTAATTAAATTATTATTATCATATTATGTTTTTATATTACGCGATTCCTTTGTTAACAATAATATACCAATTTTTTAAAATTTAAAATGCAATGAAATTTCCGTGCGACATGGGTCTATTTGGGCAGCTGGATTTCGGAAAATAAAATAGACCCATATCGCACGGAAATTTCATTGCATTTTAAATTTTAAAAAATTGGTACATTTTTTACATATATATATTTAATATAATATTATATATATTATTATATATATATATTTTTATATTGGTATATCTTTGGGCAGCTGGATTTCGGAAAATAAAACAGTTAAAAGACATGAATCCAGAAGTCGTTGGGGGCTCAAGTAGCTGCGATCGACGTGGAATCGGCCGGTTAGGCGAGCGAACGATACTCGTTCCGCTTTCGCGAACTATTTCATACCGTTCCGGAAAATTTGATCGCGTCGGTCCGGTATGGTACGGGGGTGCGAGGCACCGATAACGAGCACGAAAGTTCCGAATGAATCGTCGAATTAAATTTCAGCACGGACAGCGGCTGGGATAATCCGTTCAGACCGGACGGCGACCTTTCGAGGGAGGCCGACGAGATAGTGGAATTGATAAAAGGTGGGAAACCCATCACGCCGACCCCTGGCCAAACCGCCCCGCCGTTGCCAAGATGCGAGACTGACGGTGGAAACGCGCAGACCACCCTCGACCACGACTCGAGTTCCAGCCCCCTGCTGAAGTCCTCCGCGAACTCCACCAGCCGACGCCCGAACTCGTCGCCGAAACCCGGCCAGGAGAACGGGAATGCTCACAGCACCCCAATCAAAACCGGCACCGCGAACAACCAGCAGCCTGTCAACGATAAGGTGCGTCTCACCCCCTTTATCATTTTCGTCAATCCGACAAACCACTCGACCGGCTAACCCGAGCCCTTCAGATTAAAAAATATACAGTGGCTCCAAAAAGTCTGTAAAAGTTTGATCTATAGCAAAAGTAAAAATTTCAAGCTGTTGCACGACTGATTTTTATAAAATTATAACAGTTTAAATATCACCTATTTATCGAAAATAGATAGTTTAAGGTATCCGAGAGTTTCTAGAGCCACGATGTTTCAGTAATTTCAATGAAAAAGTCTGAACACTAGTTTGCATAGCAAAAGTAAAAATGACAAGCTTTAAAGCGACACCAGGTTTATTGTTACACGACTGATATTTATAAAATTATAAGAGTTCGAATGTCGCCCATTTATCGAAAATAGAAAGTTTAAGGTGTCAGAGAGTTTCTAGAGCCACGATATTTCGATAATTTCGATGAAAAAGTCTGAACACTAGCCAACGATGCATTGCAAAAGTAAAAATCCCAAGCTTTGAAACGATACCAGGTTTATTGTTGCACGACTGATTTTTATCAAATTATAACAGTTTAAATATCGCACATTTATCGAAAATAGAAAGTTTAAGGTGTCAGTGACCTTCTAGAGCCACGATATCTCGGTAATTTCGACGATTGCAAATTCTAAAAAAAATTCAAAGCTAACGTTGAACGGGACTAGCTCGAAAATAATGGGAAATCGTAATCGCGCAGACCGTAGTGTAGCACAATAGCTTCGGGGAAAGCCGCGAATGTCGGGTAAAATCGATGGAAAATGAGGGAATAATAGGGTACGTTGAATGCACAGGTTGCAGCGTCGAGGGCAGCGACCGTGGAAGTGGCTAGAATGACGGCGCAGGGACCAGGCGACGCTTCGCAGGTCGAACACGTCACCCTGAAGAAGAAGCCTAAATGTAAATGTTGTGTTCTGCAGTAATTAGAAGAGAGCCGAGCGAGATCGAACGAGCAGAAGGATGCCCGAGCCACCGGATGATCGTTGTTCGTCTTCTCTTCGACGACCAGTTCTCGGTTCCGCGATGCCTGAACGGTTTCCGACCGGGTTCGAAGCGGGTCGTCGGCTCGCCGTGGAACAGGACCAGGATTCTCTCGTCCGGGAACCGCGCGGGTTCCCCAACAAGTAGGGAGTGAAGAGAGAGAGAGACCGTGACGCGCGGCCATTCGAACGCTTATCTCGCGCGAAAACTGCGGCGCAGCGCGCGTTCGTTCGCTTTCCCGAGTTCGCAGCTCGTGAAACCGATTTCGCGACCATGTGTCGCCATAGGTCGCCGACGGGAGAACAGGATGGGAGAGATATCCTGGCCAGGATTTCGGCCGCGGCCCGAACGTGGAAGATACCTGAACGAGCGAAAAGCACCGAGCCTCTTTGATAGCCTTTCAGAGACAATTGAGTGTCCATAAAGTACATAGACTATGAATGGAGAGAATTAAAAAAAAAAACAAATATATATATATATAAAAATATATATATACATACACAATATATATATATATATATTATAAATACAAAAAATATACATAAAACTATATTGTAGATACAGAAATGGTAGTTGTATAGCTTATATGCTTTTACTATTGTGGTTAATTACTGTCAAAATTATCATCGTGGTTTCAAGAAATGTATAAACGAACGACTATTTGACGAGCGAGCGTGACAGAGACGGTCGGGATTGCGCAAGAACGATGTTCGGAGACTCTAACCGGGTCTGTCGACGAATATAAACAAAAGCAAAGAGAGACGAAAGAAGCTATTATTATCACTTCGTTGGACATCGATATATTAATACTACGATAGGTTGATAGATTCTCGTTTTTACTAAACAAAACAAAAAAGGAAGAAAATGAAAAATGAAAAAACGAACAAAGAAAACGACCGGAAACCTCTTCTATATATGTATATGTACATGCGACTTTTACGAAAGATTTTTTAAACCATCGCGTAGCACGTGCGCTAATCAAAAAAACGAAAAAAAAAAGAAAGAAGAAAAACAGAAGGTACTACACTTGTATCGTGACGATGATCGTGATGAGAAAAAACCGGACGAATGGGAAATGGGGCGGACGATGAATATAGAATGTCGGCGTATTTTTTCTTGTCAAGAGCAAACACAGACGTATGATTTCTCTCGGTGGATGTGTATTATCTTATTCGCAATCGCTTCACACGGACACGGAAGATTCGTTTGGTCGGCGTTGATTTCGACGTCTCGCGAGCGCTGTGCGAGGGGCCGGAGGGGGAAGGATCGAAACGTCGGAACGTCGAATCGTCGAGTAATTGATTCAGGATCGTCGCGTCGTCCTACGACAGAATCTGTAAATAATCGTGATATTTTTTCGAAGCGTGTGTGCGATGATTGTCGTCGACGCGGTTGCGAGCGTGATTTCGCTGTTCAAGCACAAACAAACTTGACGCGTTCGATAACAGAAAAGCGGGAAGATTTCTTGGTGGCGGACGTTTGTTAATTTCTCATTCGACGAAACGCTCTTTATTCGTTCGTTTTTAACCGACGTACGTGTCCTCGTTTCTACGTGTCTCACTTCGCAGCTTTTAACCCGTTTTTATCCTATTTAACCTTGTGTACGCGCGCACGTACGTTTCGAGGTGTGTGCATCGACGACGACGACGACGACGACCATGACGACGACGACGATGACGATGACAATGACAACAGAGAGATCGAGAATCGCGAGCTGGTCGAACCAACGAAAGTTCGCTGTTCGTCGATGGGGAAACCGTTGATCGGTTCCACGCATAATTATTACGTGTAAGAAAGTCGAGGGATCCCGTTTTGCCGAACCGCAACCGCAGCCGCTCGAGCACTGCCTAGCACGATGCCTGAGAAATTCAAAAAACGGGGCGGGGACTGTCTTTTTCTCGCCCGCGCAAACAAACATGTTCGAGACGATCGAACTCGTGTGTTCATGACCGTAAATCGTACGCATAGACTGTGTAAACGATTATAGATTTTCAATTTTTATCCGACAGAAAGCAAAACTTTCTCCAGAAATAGTTTCAATCCGGTGAAAATAGACCGAGCGAGAAATCGACCAAAAAGAGAAAGAAAAGAAAAAACGAGAAAAAAGAATTTTAATCAAAGATTTATTCGTGAAAAGTCGCGACCGATTTAATCGACCTCTAGCAATTGTAAATATTATAATCGTTGAACTGTTAATTTTTAATCGAAATTGAATGGAAATTCTATTCGACGTACGCTTCTAGTGCATTAGAGAATTATTTTTACGTATTTAAACGATTGTACATTCAGATATTTATTTCACGGCGACGAGAATTTTTAACGGATCAACTCGTTCAAATTGCGACGCATGTCAGTTGGATGCGAAAATTGTAATCGACAGTTGTACTAAAAGGATTGCCCGACACTGGAAAATTTGCATGATCGTTCGAACTCGACCGAAAGAAAGGTGGTTTCTTTATGCGTACGAGTCCGATTCTCGCCCATTGAAAATTCATGTTATCGCGTATTCGACCGAGGAAACATTGTGTTTTGCGACGAGCGGAGGACGGTTCGCGATTAGGTTTGTGAGGGGGGGGGGTGAATTGTGTGTGCGTGGCTGCGTGTCTGCCTGCGCGAGTGCCTGTATTTTTTTAATGCACATATCCGCGTATTTTTCCTAGATCGCCCGGGGCAAACAGATATTTATGAAACGCTGCGGCACAGTGGCGTTAGAACGGCTGGAACGACAGAGAGAGACTGAATGAGAGAGAGTGTGTGTATGTGTGTGTGTGTGTCAGTGCGTGTGTGATCGAAAGGGAGAAAGAGAGAGAGAGAGAGAGAGAGAGAGAGAGAGAGAAGCAAGAGCGACAGAAAATGAACATAAGATTTCCTTTATTTTCATTCATTGTACGCAGTCGCAGTGTATGTAAGGAGAACAGAGTGTAATATAAAATTGTAAGTAATAGGAGAGATCCTGAATAATTTACTCGCGTCCTCGCAGATGTATGTATTCCGGAATGGACATCGATGTTTCCGAAGAAGAAAAAGAAGAAGAAGAAATGAAACCGATAGAGTGTATACAATGTCACGCGAAACAACGTGCACACACACCGCGCACGCACGAAAACATGCAGACGCAGAGAGACGCGGCCTGTCCAACTCTTTCGCTTGGTATTTCCTAAGAAAGTGATAATAAAAAGACTTTGCGGAAATTTGTTGACAGTCGAGTTAATGCTACTGACATTCTGCGGGTCGGTAACGCGACAACTACAGCTACACGTATTATCTTTGCTTCTCGCAAGCATGACCGTTGTCGCGTACCGCATCGCTCTTGCGGATAAATAATTTCTGAATTACCAATATTCGGATTAACCCTTTCGGTACGAGCGCCGGATATATCCGGCATTCATCCGATGACCGATATGGTCGAGTACCGAATACATCTGGCATCCGTGTGAGCCATATTTCTGTGGACCCTTTACAGAATGTTTACAGGAAACATTTAACCCCTTGACATACCCCATTCTCTTCGCAGTTAGTGCGATTAGAGATTTTTCGACTACCATAATTTCTTAGATTGGGAAAGAAAATTGATGCTTATCGTGCGCCTGAATTTACTTGAATGCTTAAATATTGATGACAAGAGATTCGAATTTTATTCAAATTTTAATGGACAGAATAACGTATATACTCAATAAGTTATTATTAGACATTTTCATGACGAGTCGGACTCGACAAAGTACGGCAAGGGGTTAAAGAAAGATTTAGAAACGGATCAAGCACAGTCGTTGCTTAACGCTTAAGAAAATCTTCGTACAAAAGCGGACCGACCCTGCGTTATGTGCGCATTTTCAGCGCGGCACCCCGCGTGCAGTGGGAATGTCACGGCGGACAACGCGCTCGTACCGAAAGGGTTAAGCAAGCATCACCCTTTGTTGCGGCGGGCAGAGCGCGATCACGAAGACAATCGAGATAGAACGTTGAACGGACTCGATGAATCTGTGATCAGCTCTGTCGCAAGTCTCGCCAGCTGTCGATATATCGAGCATATGTGTCCTTTAAAGGTTACCGAAACAGGAGACGAAGCATCGATCCAACGATTGCAAGAATTCGCGGGAACACGGCTCGTGCAGGTCGCCGGCATTCAAATCTTTCGCGCGATCAGTTTTTCCACTCTCCGACATCGCGCGGCCCGTCGTTGTCGGGCTAACAAAATCCACGAGGATTTATCCCCACCGTTCCGTCAAACCCCCGCGAAATTAATCATTTTCGACGTTACGATTTTTCTATTATTTTCTGGTATTAACCCTTCGCACTCGAGTGGTGATTCCGAGGCTGAAATCATCAAAGTTTAGATTGAAGAAATCATTAAAAGTGAAGCCGTTGTACGAATTACATATTCATATGCATTTATATATATATAAATTATATAATATTATAATAATTATTATATATACATATAAAATTAATATATATATAATTATATATATATATATAATTATATATTATATTATTATATATATATATATATATATAAGTGGACAATTTGGGAAGAGGAGATACGATTATTCGAGCCTTTCGGTTTGTTTTCATAGTTGTTGACAATCGATAACCATAAAAAACGAGCCACAAGCCTCGGATAATCGTATCTCCTCTTCCCAAATTGTTCAATTTTTGTGGACAACCTGAACATCGGTAAGGGAGACATTACCGTACTGTAAGCCAAAAAGATTGTTTTAGATGTACAGTTAAAACGGCTTCGAGTGTAAAGGGTTAACTCGCCGCGATTCCCACGCAGCTTGCGTAAAGCAGAGAAAGGGAAATGCCGAAAGGGTTGCCGACCGTCAGCGGTTGACGATGTCGTCGCTCCTCTGAACGCAAATGAACTTACACGCACCTATTTACATTAACAAGCGCGGCAGAGACGAGCGAACATCGTAGGCACAATGGAAGTGTAAAAACGCGAGTCGCTGCTGCGAGAGTACCTTGGCACTTGGGTGTGCCACTTCGTCTCGGGAACGTTTAAATTAGCGTCTAGAGAGAGAGAGAGAGAAAGAGACAGTTACTTGGTTTGTGAGAAAAAAAAAGGAAACAATTTTCCGTCGCCAATAAAATTGATAAACAGCGAACATGAACTTTGAGCTCGCGGAGACAATTTCAGAAGTTCATCTCGAATATTAAACGCTCGAGTGGGCAGCGGAGAATACATACGCATTCCATGGTAATAACTCGCAGAAGAACCACGTAACTGCGACGTAACTTCTCCGCTCGATGCATTCGTTTCTCTATGCGCAAACATTAAATGTCTTGTTCCCTAAAAGACGACGAGCAAAAGTTATCGCGTCGGTAAAATTGAATCCGTGCGCGCGAGACCCGTTGCCCTTCTCCATCCTCTCGATTCCTCGAATGTCCTCGCACGAAATTAGCATCGCCAGAGAATCAATTAGTTTTACCAAAGAATCATTTTCACGAGCCGGTTTCGTAATTTTTTTTTTTATTTCGCCGCACCTTTCTCCGACGAAATCCATTCGCGATCCTTCGACGAAATCCCCTGAGATTACAAGCATTCGGCATTTGATTGACTGACCGGACATCGGTGCATATTTTTCAGTTCTTTCATATTTATTTATTTCTCGATCTATTGGGTTGGCAACTAAGTAATTGCCGATTTGCTCAATGAAATAAAAAATTTTGAGATGTGTATAAGAGACAGATATTATCTTGTGTTCTTTATATTCTTGTTTTAGAGAGTCTCTCTCTTTCTCTGGAATTGAAAATATTGGGTTGGCAACTAAGTAATTGCCGATTTGCTCAATGAAATAAAAAATTTTGAGATGTGTATAAGAGACAGATATTATCTTGTGTTCTTTATATTCTTGTTTTAGAGAGTCTCTCTCTTTCTCTGGAATTGAAAATATTGGGTTGGCAACTAAGTAATTGCCGATTTGCTCAATGAAATAAAAAATTTTGAGATGTGTATAAGAGACAGATATTATCTTGTGTTCTTTATATTCTTGTTTTAGAGAGTCTCTCTCTTTCTCTGGAATTGAAAATATTGGGTTGGCAACTAAGTAATTGCCGATTTGCTCAATGAAATAAAAAATTTTGAGATGTGTATAAGAGACAGATATTATCTTGTGTTCTTTATATTCTTGTTTTAGAGAGTCTCTCTCTTTCTCTGGAATTGAAAATATTGGGTTGGCAACTAAGTAATTGCCGATTTGCTCAATGAAATAAAAAATTTTGAGATGTGTATAAGAGACAGATATTATCTTGTGTTCTTTATATTCTTGTTTTAGAGAGTCTCTCTCTTTCTCTGGAATTGAAAATATTGGGTTGGCAACTAAGTAATTGCCGATTTGCTCAATGAAATAAAAAATTTTGAGATGTGTATAAGAGACAGATATTATCTTGTGTTCTTTATATTCTTGTTTTAGAGAGTCTCTCTCTTTCTCTGGAATTGAAAATATTGGGTTGGCAACTAAGTAATTGCCGATTTGCTCAATGAAATAAAAAATTTTGAGATGTGTATAAGAGACAGATATTATCTTGTGTTCTTTATATTCTTGTTTTAGAGAGTCTCTCTCTTTCTCTGGAATTGAAAATATTGGGTTGGCAACTAAGTAATTGCCGATTTGCTCAATGAAATAAAAAATTTTGAGATGTGTATAAGAGACAGATATTATCTTGTGTTCTTTATATTCTTGTTTTAGAGAGTCTCTCTCTTTCTCTGGAATTGAAAATATTGGGTTGGCAACTAAGTAATTGCCGATTTGCTCAATGAAATAAAAAATTTTGAGATGTGTATAAGAGACAGATATTATCTTGTGTTCTTTATATTCTTGTTTTAGAGAGTCTCTCTCTTTCTCTGGAATTGAAAATATTGGGTTGGCAACTAAGTAATTGCCGATTTGCTCAATGAAATAAAAAATTTTGAGATGTGTATAAGAGACAGATATTATCTTGTGTTCTTTATATTCTTGTTTTAGAGAGTCTCTCTCTTTCTCTGGAATTGAAAATATTGGGTTGGCAACTAAGTAATTGCCGATTTGCTCAATGAAATAAAAAATTTTGAGATGTGTATAAGAGACAGATATTATCTTGTGTTCTTTATATTCTTGTTTTAGAGAGTCTCTCTCTTTCTCTGGAATTGAAAATATTGGGTTGGCAACTAAGTAATTGCCGATTTGCTCAATGAAATAAAAAATTTTGAGATGTGTATAAGAGACAGATATTATCTTGTGTTCTTTATATTCTTGTTTTAGAGAGTCTCTCTCTTTCTCTGGAATTGAAAATATTGGGTTGGCAACTAAGTAATTGTCGATTTCAGTTATAGCTGTCTCTTATACACATCTTTATAATATAACATTTACGGATATCATAAAAATGGGAGTGAGAGGCATCTATAACTGAAATCGACAATTACTTAGTTGCCAACCCAATATTTTCAATTCCAGAGAAAGAGAGAGACTCTCTGAAACAAGAATATAAAGAACACAAGATAATATACGCGATATGTGTATATGTATCTTGTAAGAATCTTGGTCCTGTTTTCTATGGAATTATTAATTTAACTGAATTATTATTAATTTAACTAAAATCGGCGATTACTTAGTTACCAACCCAATATTATTCGATGCTTGCGGTTCATTTGTTACAGTTACGAATTGTCGACAGCTGTAAAAACGAGCTGCAAGGCTCGAATAATCGTATCTTCTCTTCCCAAATTGTCCATTTTTGTGCGCAATCTGAGCGTCAGTAAGGGAGACATTACTGTAGCGGGAGTTCTTAATACTTTCATGGAGCAAGTGATATGTTCTCCCTCATTTTAACGCCTGTATTTTATTCAGAAGTTGCAGTTTCTGAAAGAAGAAAGTTCGAAAATGGGTCCCGAAAATTGGACATTGACGGATAGTGGGTTAATCGCTCTGCAACGTCCGGTCAGGCTCGTTATAAAAATTTCGAACGCGACCAACGAGATATGAACTTTGAAACATTGTCCGTGCATCGACAAGTTGCAAACCAATGTTTCATTCTTGATCTAATTAAGAAGCTTCGTTGACTGATTCTGTTTTCGAAAAGTACATTTTTATGCACCTTCGCGCGTACTCGGACCAAGATCTTATCTCCATCCAGCCGTATTTAGAACTAATTATGGCCGATGAAATTGGATCGACCGTATTATCGCAGACGTGTAGAGCTTTTCTTTGGTCCGCTGCAATATTTCGGACAGCGACTGGCGGAATAATATTTTATAAATACAGTAATGTCTCTCTAATTGACGCTCGGATTGTCCGCAAAAATGGACGATTTGGAAAGAGGAGATACGATTAAAAATGGGAATGACAGACATCTATAACTGAAATCGGCAATTACTTAGTTGCCAACCCAATAGTTCCGAAAATATTTTCAACACGCCAGGAACGGTATAATTCCGTGCTTTTTATATTCCGCTTTGTTTACCCGGGGGGAATCTCGGTCAACGGTGCGCGTCCTCGAAAAGTCAGGTGTAAATCACGATGCGACGCGGTGGAGTGCTTGCGAACCGATAACGTTGAGAATCGCGGCGATAACGTGGATGTTCGCTGAGAAACGAGAAAGAGAGAGAGAGAGAGAGAATTACAGCGAGTCCTTTCTCCGCCTCCGTCCGCGTCTCGTGGAACGATCCCCGTTCGATTATGAAATCATTACACCGTACGGACGATCGGTATCGTGCAGCCGTTGCCTGGGACACGATACCGCGAGCTGGTGCTCGATCGAAGATCCACGGCGAGGTCGTAAATTGAGACGCAGTCAGGTAAGTAGACAGAAGACCTCGCGGAATCCAGGTACGAGCAGACGCACCGGGCATCTTTCGCTCCTGGCTGTCTCGTAGAATCAATTATATACTTTCTAATCTCGAACGCAGCCCATTGTGCCGTGTACAAATTGCTCGTACCGTTAATTGCGAGCAACCAACGCGAGAAGCGCTCGATAAAACTGGAAGCCTCTGGCATTTTCTCGATTGGACGCCTGACACCGAATTAACTTGGTAATGACAGCGAGATACATAAACGCGTGGGCCAACAAAACAGGAGACTGTATTTTTATACTGTCCAATTGGCTATGCGACAGGGTGTCCCAAAATTATGGTACTTACGGGAAATATGGGGTTCCCGAGGTCCTTTGAAGTAACTTTTTCCTCAGCGAAAATGCGATCTGCGGCTTCGTTTACGAGTTATTAACGAAAAACGGTGACCAATGGGAGGCGAGACCTTGGCTGGCGCGAGGCGGCCGAGCCAATCAGCTGAACCGCGCTTCGATCGCTCGTTGGCTCGGCGCGCCAGTCAAGCTCGCCTCTCATTGGTCGACGTTTCTCGTTAATAACTCGTAAACGATGCCTCGGAGAAAGTTTTCGTAAAGGAAAAAGTTGCTTCAAATGACCTCAGGAAGCCCTCATCTCCCGGAGGTACTATAGTTTCGGGGACATCTTGTATATTTGAGCCGTTTATTTTGAAAGTGGCGTAAGTCACTTTGTTTTGAAGTCGATATATTTAAGGGTTTGCGTTTTAAAAATATTAATATATTATAATTATATTATATTATATATATAATTATATATAATATAATAATATATATAATAATATAATAATATATATTATTATATTATATTATATAATATTATAATTTTACGTTTAAAAATATGGATGCTAACTTTCGAGAAGATTTACTTGCATTTGTTATCTCGGGATACTGATATTTTTCTCAGTACAAATAATTTCGTATAAACATTAAGAAAATCACACCACTTTTCATTACGGTAACGTGACTTATGCCACTTTCAAAATAAACGGCTCATATAAAAATATAAGCTGTACCAAAGACCGGTCGCGGTAGGAATAGGTATACAATATACGTGAACTGTCGGTAGATTCAGTGTTAATTAACCGAAGAAGCAAGGGGATCGCTGACGGCCTCGGGGTCGTTGCGGCAAACGTTACGGATGAAAACATGGAAATCCGGATGATCGACGACGTCCGAAGGACGGGTCAACGGTTCTCTAATATTAGCTTACGTGTCGCTAGGTTGCAATCCGAGGAGCTCGAAGCTCGAAGAGCAAGTTTCCGCGCGCGGTACGTGTTGTCCCAAATCCAAGAAGAAGCCACTTTCGGATAGAATTGTTCTCTCCGATCGATCGCTGGCTCTTCGCCAGAGCGATCGCGAAAGACGGGAAACGGTGGCCGGAGAACGGAGAACAGAGGACGACGACCCTTTCTATGCGGTCGTCTTCGCGCCGCTCGCCACAATGCCGAGGAGCTTAAACGCCTCCTACTGAACTACTCGAGGGAACGAGATCGGTCTCTTCTGTCCTCGGTATTTCGCCGTGAAGTATCGAAAAGGGAGAAGGAGGAGGAGGAAGAAGAACGTCAACGACCGTATCACGCGGAAAAGTTCCATTATTCCGTGTTAAGCAGGCAACCCATCGGGACCTTGCTGAAGCGCAGTTCGCACTCGAACGAGGGCAACCACCGAGCCGTTCTTATTTCGTCGCGTCCACGGAACAATGAACTACAGTGAATTCTCTCTAATTGTCCCTCTAGATCAGGGCTGTCAAACTCGAAAGCTAACTTGGGCCAAATAAACAATACTTAACTTTAGGTGGGCCGCAAAAAATAATCAATGTTCATAGAAACAAATATTTTTATTTTGACCGGTACATTGTAATAAACATATATAAAGTTAAATTATTGTTTACGTCCTGATACTTGACATCTCTTCTCTGATACTATCCTTCCTATTTCGGGAGAAATTTGATTGGCCGAGACTACTTTCAAAATTTCTCATTCACATTTCTATTTTATTTTTACTTTGCGTCGGATATATTGACTGGGCCGCAAAAATGTTCATCTCGGGCCGCGAGTTTGACACCCCTGCCTTACATATTTTCAAAGAAACATGAGTATGCAGACGATTTCATTTAGCGCAGCCCTATGCGAGAAATTATCACAAGATAAAACTAAAATATTTCTGTTTCTATTTAAGATGTTAACATAAATGTGGACATTGCTTGTAACAGAACAGACGAATAAAGTAATGCTATTGTTAATATACAATATAATATTAATAATTATGATTCCAATGTGACGATTTTGAATAGAGAAAGAGGCAAGGGAATGTGCAAATATCATAATAACTTTTTGTAACATACAGAAGAAATTTGTATGGTATATAAACATTTAAATATGCGGCGATAAAATTCGGCCAAACAAAATTTTTAATAGTTTAAGACAGAGGTGTCAAACTCAAAAGCTAACTTGGGCCAAATAAACAATGCTTAACTTTAGGTGGGCCGCAAAAAAAATCAATGTTCATAGAAACAAATATTTTTATTTTGACTGGTACACTGTAATAAACATATATATAAAGTTAAATTATTGTTTACGTCCTGATACTTGACATCTCTTCTCTGATACTATCTTTCTTATTTCGGGAGAAATTTGATTGGCCGAGACTACTTTCAAAATTTCGAATTCACATTTCTATTTTACTTTTATCTTGCGTCGGATATATTGACTGGGTCGCAAAACTGTTCATCTCGGGCCGCGAGTTTGACACCCCTGCTCTAGATCGAGAGAGATACGATTATTTCATCGTTGTTGACATTCGGTATAAAAACGAGCCGCGCGAGGCACGAATACAGTAAATTCTGTCGAATCGTCGTTCAGCTTGCAAAAACGAAAATGGACAATTTAGGAAGGAAAGATACGATTATTAGAGCCTCGCGGCTCGTTTTTGTAGCCGCTGATTGTCAACAATAATAAAAACGAGCCGCGAGGCTCGAATAATCGTAAATTCCCAAATTATCCATTTTTATGCGCAATCTGAGCATCAATTAGGGATCATTTGGGAATTTACGATTATATTCGAGCCTTGCGGCTCATTTTTATAGTTGTTGACAATCGGTAATTATAAAAATGAGGCCCATTTTTATGCGCAATCTGAGCGTCGATTAGAGAGAATTTGGGAAGAAGGAATACGATTATTCGAGCCTTGCGACTTATTTTTATAGTTACCGATTGTCAACAAGAATAAAAACGAGCCGCGAGCTCGAAAAATCGCATCTTCGATTAGACTCCTCAATCGAATTGACACCTGAGAGCAAATTAATTTGGTTAATAACAGCGAGATACATAACGCGTGGACCAACAATAAAGTCCAACAAAACAAGAAACCCTATTTCTATACTGTCAAATTGGCTCTATTATCTCCATCCTACAGGGTGTCCCAAAATTATGGCATCACCGAGAAACATAGAGCTCTTTCGAAGTAACTTCTTCCTCAGTGAAAATGCAATCTGCGGCTTCGTTTACGAGTTATCAAAACACTAAAAAAACCCTGAAAAAAACACTGACCAATGGGAGGCGAGCTTGGCTGGCCCGAGGCAATCGAATCGACCGAATCGTGAATTTTTATTTACACGCTGAGGAACGATTCGCGAGAATGAACTGCGCAACGAGAACTCTTTCGCTCGAACAGCTTAATAAATTAAAGGGAAAGGAAACATATATAGTTAGCCGATTCCACGATGTACCGTGTGCATCACCGCGAGCAGCTTCGGTTGTCCCGAAGAGCACACACAGATGCGAATCAGGGTGCGATCGACGCTCGACGAGATCTCGATCGATCGCGATCCCGGGACGAAAGGGATCTCTTGATCGGCTACCGGGCACGGAATGCGAGTGGGTTCGGTGTGCGAAAGGACGGAATAAAAGGGTAAAATGTCATCGTGACTCTGTTCTACCTAGAAAAGAGCAAACGCATCCTATTAGCGGTTCAGAGATCGCATTGTTTGCTCGTGTGCCCTTAAACGAGCGAAATCTCATCCATCGTAACGACGTTGGCCTTTGAATCGCGTGCCAAACGGACGGCGATAAATCCACGGCCGACTTCATGGCTCGCCGAAGGAAACTACGTGCATATGCGAAGACGAGCTTGCGCCAGCAAGAACTCGCCGGGACCGCCAGGGCGACCGGGACCGTGTCCCGAGTAATTCATCGAACGCGTCCGACACGCGTTCGTTCTCGAAGATACGCAGCGATAACACCGTTCGCCTCCCAACATGGACGCGAGGGTCCCGCGCATCTTCCGTGGGAGATTCGTTTTCCATCGTGGAAATTCTATGTATACCGCGACGACACCAAATCGAGACGCGTCCGTGGAGTCCGGGGCCCCATTGCCAAGTTGATGTGGCAATCACGGTCCGCGATTCCAGAATCGTCGATCAGCGAATCTTTGATTTTCTTAACGTCTGTATTCCTCCCCGGTCGAGCCTTTCCAGGCTGCCGTGCCATATCAAGAAGATGGGGAAGGTCCATCCGTCGACTTCTCGCGGATCAAATGGCAACGACTAACGATCTCGATTATTTTGCAAACGATCGCACGTGTCTGCTTAACAAGTGCGGGTATAATAGGTCTACCGGAAAGTTCTGTCCGTTTTTGAATTGAAATATAACACAATTTTCATAGATTTAGTAATATTTATTGTTGAATATACTTTCCATCGTTACTTATGACTTCTTGCCAGCGTGATGGCAACTTGTAAATGCCATTTTTAAAAAATAGTTGCCGATTGTCAACGATTATAAAAACGAGGTGCAAGGCTCAAATCTCCTCTTTCCAAATTGTCCATTTCTGTTTACAAGCTGAAGGAAAATTGGGGAGAATTTACTATATTTGGCAATGTTGCTTTTACTATCCATAATGTTCGAAATAATGAACGCGAAGTAAGTATTGATCTATAAAAATAACAATTCTTTTCGTATTCTATTTGGCAGAATATTTGATTTGTTGAGGAGAACGTCTCGCATATATTAGGTCTACCGGAAAGTTCTGTCCGTTTTTGAATTGAAATATAACACAATTTTCATACATTTAGTAATATTTATTGTAGAATATACTTTCCATCGTTACTTATGACTTCTTGCCAGCGTGATGGCAACTTGTAAATGCCATTTTTAAAAAATAGTTGCCGATTGTCAACGATTATAAAAACGAGGTGCAAGGCTCAAATCTCCTCTTTCCAAATTGTCCATTTCTGTTTACAAGCTGAAGGAAAATTGGGGAGAATTTACTATATTTGGCAATGTTGCTTTTACTATCCATAATGTTCAAAAGAATGAACGCAAAGTAAGCATTGATCTATAAAAATAACAATTCTTTTCGTATTGTATTTGGCAGAATATTTGATTTGTTGAAGAGAACGTCTCACATGTATTAGGTCTACCGGAAAGTTCTGTCCGTTTTTGAATTGAAATATAACACAATTTTCATACATTTAATAATATTTATTGTAGAATATACTTTCCATCGTTACTTATGACTTCTTGCCAGCGTGATGGCAACTTGTAAATGCCATTTTTAAAAAATGATTTATTTTTAGAGGCGAAGAACTCAACTAGTGCTTGGTTGACATCAGCTTCAGTTTTGAATTTTTTTTCCTGTAAAAAGTTTTGCAAAGAGAGAAACAAGTGATAATCGGAGGGTGCTAGGTCTGGGGAGTATGGTGGATGCGACAGAATTTCCCAGCCTAACTCTGCGATTTTCCGACGAGTTGCCAAAGCAGCATGTGGTCTGGCATTATCAATATAAATATAATATAATATAATATAATAAATATATAATAAATATAATATAATATAATAAATATAATATAATAAATATAATAAATAATAATGACATGAGACATCTTTGTTTCAGTTTATTTAGGAGAGTGCATGTTTGTAATTGCAATGATAAAGAGAGATAGTCATATATGTCTGAAATCAACATGTGCATATGGATTGAAACTTGAAGTGACACTATCGGACAGAACTTTCCGGTAGACCTAATATTTTCATCTCTCTAGGAAAAAATGTTTCTGCTCGTCTTACACAGAGAGGTACATGCGACGTTTCCCAACGTACAGACATTTCCATGTTTACAGCGAAACCTGCCGAGAGACAAAATTGACATTTGCGCGAATATTGTTGATCAACGATGCCCAAGGACTCTCGAGGGTAACGGGATTTGATAAGGGTTAAAAAATATATTTCAGCCGCCGCACGTTCTCCCGTGTCCGTCTCCCAAACGAACGACGGAGGACGAAGGATCGCGTCGGATAGGGGAAAAATGAGAGCTAAGAGTAAGCGCGCATGGGGAGGGAATGGATAGGATGTTTCCTGCTCCGACCCCTCTTGCGAATCGGTCGCGGAATCAGAGGGGGGAAAAAACCGTCGTTCTTCCAGCCGGCGGACAGTATCGGGTATATAAAAGCTAGGCGAACGATCGGGCAGAGATGTTGTTGCCAGCTTCTGAAATCCGTCGATTGTGTCGCGGGACGAGCAATCGCGAGTGTCTCGAGGGATGCCATTTCGTGTGCCGTCGGTGTGACCGATCCTCTGGCGACGATGACCTCCCGCAGAAATGTGTCTCGATCACCGGTACGTTCCCGAATCGCACGCGGGACCCTTAATTTTCTCGCAAGACGGACGGGGTACACGGTCTCGCGAGCTTTTCGAACTCTCGTGACTCTTGTATCGTTAGTGTGACGTCACACGGCTGACGTATCTCTGAACTGCGAAGAAACACCCTCCGAATGGGGTATCATCGGTATCTCCCGAGAAGATTAATTTTCGAAATTTGATAAATAATATAATATATATATAATATATTAATATTATTATATTATTATATAATATATTAATATTATATTATTATATAATATATTAATATTATATTATTATATAATATATTAATATTATTATTATAATAATATATATAATAAATTTCTTTCTGTAAGAAAACGCGATCGTCGATCGGCATTTTCAGTTCCGGCGAGGTTCCCCTATTCGAAAACCAGTGACACCTGTGTCCAAGTGAACGATCGATCGTAGATTTCCGGCTCGAGGACACGAACGGATAAAGTGAAGAAAACAGAGAAGACGAACGGCACAGTGTGACATCGCGGAATGTTCGCAACTATTTCGTTGCGAATAGTCGCCCTTGTTTGGGGATCGGTCGAGTCGCGGGAGTAAATGACGTAATAGATTATCCATGATGCAATTATTTCGAATGGTCGTGTGTGGTGCCGGCGACTCGATAAAATAGAAAGTATCCTTTCGATTTAGCCACGGCGTGACATGTTTACGCGGAAGATTCGCCGACAGCAGTCGATGCGAGTAGCGTGCGTACCGCGGTCGAGAGGTCACCGGGCACGAATGAAAACCAACCGCGGGTCTTGTCTTGGTTAGACGAACAGCTTCTTCGTACGCCGGAGAATGTTACGTCTTCGCATCCCGGGGAATACCAATCGAGAACGTTGTGTTCACTTTCGAAAACGGGTTCCCCTTATCGAACGATCGTCCAGCCTCCTTTGCAACCCTCGCATACTCCTCGGATATAAACATAAATAGACGTGATTATGGCAATTTGAGATGTAACATCGATGCGCGGGATCGTTACGAACAGTTTGGGACCGTGAACGTTACACTTGTGCAATTCGTTCGCAGGTTATTTAATTTCTGAAGAAAAATAGTTTCCTATGGGCGCATCGGAACACTATCGCCGCGTAGCGGTGAACGTCCGAACTTAATCGACCACTTATGTGAGCCGTTTATTTTGAAAGTGGCATAAGTCACTTTGTTTTTAAGACGATATATTTAAGGGTTTGCGTTTTAAAAATATTAATATATTATAATTATACTATATTATATTATTATATTATATTACATATATAATAATTATATAAATAATATGATATAATAATATAAATAATATAAATATATATATATAATATATATATATAAATAATAATATAATATATATATATATAATAATATTATAATTTTACGTTTAAAAATATGGATGCTAACTTTTGAGAAGATTTACCTGTATTTGTTATCTCAGGATACTGATATTTTTCTCAGTATAAATAATTTCGTATAAACATTAAAAAATCACCACTTTTCATTACGGTAAAGTGACTTATGCCACTTTCAAAATAAACGACTCATATGCACGATGCAGGGTCATCGAAAAAACACGAATAAATCAAGGGCGCGCGATTATTCAGGCGTATATGTTGCATCGATAACGTGTATAAACAAAACAAACATCGACCCGGTGAAAGGTAATTAATTAACGTAATAGTTAATCGACTATCCAGAAGCAATTAATTATGCTTACCAGTGTTTCCACTTGTACTTTCCATGTGATATCGATGCGGTACGTTTTCGCGAACAGTTATGCGTTGTTGGTTTATTTTTTAATCGCCTAATTTTCTCGTAATTCATATTTTCCGGCAGCCTTGCATCGCGTATACGGGGGAGATTTAATTTGAGCGTTTACCGCTATGCGGTGATAGTGTTTCGATGCCCATGGGAGGACATTTTTCCATAAATTAAATTACACGTGGATCAATACCTGAAATTTTACAATTTCGATCTCAAATTGTTCGAAATGATTCCGTGCATTGATTGTATACCGCAGATGACCACAATTATGTTATATATTTTTTTTTTAAATAGCCCGATTATGAACCACAAACGCCCTAACTAAAATATGAGCTCTCATTGTCAGAAGAATTTATGCAGAGAATATTGGACGTCTTCTAGAAATTCAAAATTATATCTGTAATATATATATATATATATATATATATATATATATATATATATATCTGTAACTATATCTGTATCATACAATAGAAACTTTATTACTGTAAATACAGATAACAAATGATTTTTGCCGCTTTTTCCATAAGATATGGTATCGAATTCGGCAAAGATCATCTGCTCCCTTTAAACGTCTCTATAGCGCTGAATCATGCAGCGGCAAAATACTGAAACTATTAGCCGAAATTGGATGTTGGTAAATCCTCGAACTTTCGTCACCGATTTGCCACTTAGTAATTCGTGATGTACCGATTCCTGAAAGAGCTTTCAGATTTTGTCACAAGAGGCGTTACCGTTTCGCTAACAGTTTCAGCCTTCTTCCATTTACTAATTGGCGCTGTACGGACCACGAATATAGAGCTTCTTGATTTCCCCACAAGAAGCGCTCCAATAGCAATTAGTTCATACCGGATTTCCATAATACCTTGCGTCAAAAACGGCAAGAATCATGCGCTTTCTTTATTTCTAATAATAAATAAGCTTCAATCTGCAGAATATGGACGCCGATTTTTCTACATATTCCTATACCTTCAAAATATATTTTTCATCCCTGATATGACAAATTTCATGCTGCTCCGTGTACACATATCTTCCATGCGGCAAGAATCATTTTTAGCTGTAACAAATATGTTTTTCATACTTTCAACATTGGACGTTAGAAGGCTTGAACGATGCGACAATTTAATATGGTTCAGCAGCCTGCGGCCCGATTAGATTTCCCGAAGTCCAGAATCCTGTCTCGCCTTTCTTTGTACGTTACACCAAATAGAGGAAATGTAACTCGAAATCGACGCACGTTCTCGCAGGTCCTGTGGCTGGTGCTCCTCATCGCGTACTGTTGCGACGGCGAAAAGCTGTCTCCGGATCAGAAGGCGCCTCCGTTCGCGCGTGGTTCAGGCGGACTGATCCTGAACACCCCGTTGGAGGACAACAAGGCCAGACACCGACCGATACAGAGCGGTCCCAGCGGCTCGACCGCGGGAGATCAGGTGCAGAGGGAGGAGACGGAGATGTTGAAGGAAGTGGACGGCGAGTTGGTGCGAGTCGTTAAGGGTAGCTTCTCATACAAAAGTCCCGAGGGTCTGCCAATCTCCGTGAAGTGAGCTTTCCTTTCTTTGTCATATCGTTTTACCCGAAACCTGTAAACTATCGGGTGGTCTTTATCGAAGGTACGAGGCCGACGAAAATGGGAACAGAGCGAGCTTCAAGTTCGGCACCGGCGAAGCGGGAGGCTCGGTTACGCCCGGCAAATCTTCGGGACCAAGAAAAGGAGGTGGCGACCGACAAAACGGTCAAGGAACCAAGGGAGGGAACGGATCGAAGGATAACGCTTACCTTCCACCCAACAAAGACGTAGACAGAAGCTACCTGCCTCCGAAATAGAACCGCGCAACCGGTGTAAAAGACACGGTAACCCGTACTATAGCAATTTGTTAATGGTCCAAGGATTCTTCTTCAGAAACGTCAAGTTGTTCGCTCGGTAGAATTGTACAAAGCCTGTAAACATTTAGCTGATTAAATTAATCAATGATACGACACACATGACTATATTCTACACAGTACGAAATAAAGTATATTTTTTCACACATGATAATGCTCACATAGCGATGTAAACCGTCAAGATCTTGGAGTCCAGCTAGCACTACCTAACTCGTTGTATTTACAGTTCGTATCTTTTCTAAATAACACTTAGAAAAATATAAGAATAGTGACCATGTGGAGATTTTGATATTCCGCATTGTAAAAAAGAGTTTATTGATTATTGAAATCAAATTTTTATATAACACGTTTGTCACTTAGAATATTGGTCGATTGTCCATTGGTGTTCATCTTTCGGAACCACGGTATGTGGAATAACCGAACGGGCTTAACAGCAACGGTATGTGATAGTGTCCGGCGGGATCCTTCACATCGAACACGATTTCGATGAACGGGTACATAGTCTCTATTCTTCTTAGCGTAAAGTACTTGTCCACGTCGAAGTGGATCTTGTATCGCCCGGCAGTAAAGCTGGCTCTTATACTATCCACTAAGTCTACGCAACGACCATTCGGAGAAGTATTACTGAAAAGGCACAACCATTGTAACAACAAAACTACTTATCTCTAATATTTCATTTATGAATCTCTTATATATATACCTTTCATTTAAAAACGTCCATCGTCCATCCATAAGTTTGTACAAGCTAACTTGTAATCCTCCGACAGGCAATCCTTTGCTTGTATCCACAACGTGCGTAGAGATTTGAGGTTTCTTCGACGTCGGGGATCTAGCGGACTTCACAAACACATGCTAAAATATAGGAAAGCTATGCTAATTGAATGTTTTTGTAATTACAAAAGACTATGGATTAGTTCGATTGTAATTTTGCACAACCCACCTTTTTTCCAGATTGATAGCTGGTACCCGCGACAGCCACTTGCTCCTTGTTTATCAAAAGGGTTTTCGACGTGTCTCCCGCCTGATTAGCTGCAATTGCAGGTTTCCTATCAGCTAGTACAAACGTAGGTAGTTTATTCTTGAATTTACTCAGCACATACTGAGTACCAGGTTGAAAAGTACCACCTGACAAAGTTAGAGTTTTACCACCCGACGTTAAAGTGATCGTTTTATTTTGCGCAGGAGTAATGGGGATGGTGTTCACCGGTTGAAGAACTCCTATCGTGTTAGAGGGAGACGCAACCGATGAATTCATTTGATATGTCGCGCCCAAAATAGGCAACGGGCACGCCACCAGTATATCCGAATTCGCTTGTTGCTTCTCGCCTTGCTGAAATACCATATACGAACGTTTACGTAACATAGAGCGATAGATTTAATATAAGTACATTTACAATGCTTACAAATTTGCTAGACTTTCTGTCCGACTTATTCTCGGATCGTCGAATAGTTTTTCCATTTTCACGAGACTCTTTCTGCATTTCTTTGTTCGAATCTTCCTCATCGGAAAGAAGCGCAACAACTCGAATTTCAGAACTGTTGTGATCTTCCGATTCCACCACCATTTCCATTTGCACTTCCCCTTGATTCTCCGATTCTTCCAGATATTCGCTTTGCATATGTTCCATCGCATCAGCTATAGGATCTTCGGTGTTGTCCTAACAAGATCAACCACTTTAGTTACAAATTCTTGAATCAAGGAATATAAAAAACTTGGATAGCCAAAGAAACTAACTACTCTCTCCAGTTTGATCTTCTTCGAAGAATGTTTCACAGTCTCATCCTCCAAGGACATATGCAAATGTGATACATCTTCCTCATCCTCGTCGACGTCGTCCACATCGTCTTTGATGTGGGTTTCATCCAGTTCGTCATCTGTTTCCAATCTTTCAACAACATATTCTACTTCCTCATCATCTACTTCGGTTTGAACATTTTCAGATGTCTAATGAAAATTTACATCGATATACTATAAATTGCTTGAATCGGTTTAGCCAGATCGGAAGTTATACAAATGAACGGTACAAACATCAATTTCACCAATCTCTACTTCAACTTCCTCATCTCCATTTAACTTTTGGGCAAGAGCCTTCTTCTTTTCTTCTGCCTCGTGTAACAGAGCTGCTCGCTGGTGCTTCATAGTACATGTGTGCTTCAATAGAGACAGTCGATGGGCATGCAGGTTTTTCTTGCAGTACATGCAATAAGCACGCGTCGCTTGAAAAGGTACAGATGTTAACCATCCTATAAAACATATTCTATTGAGTGCATAAGCATATACATACAACTTATACATAGGATACTATTTAGTAGAATATTATTCACAGTTTCTGTTTTAAAAATTTACAGATCATAAAGTAAATTAGCAAGAACTAAAACTATGCAAAAAAAAAATTAAAATAAAAAATCTACCATAAAACGTGAAAATATAAGAAATAAAGTCTATTTATAGGTTGTATAAATATAATTTACGTTCTCACTTCACTATGAGGTTTCCTTCATTTCTATTTACGAGTCACTTTGATACAGTTATGTATATATACATACATGAACATCACTATATACCTCGTCGTAACGCGAAGCGAATTAAGCAAAGTATTAAACAACGAACGTACCGCGGAATTCACATATTTTAATGCACCTGTATATCTGTTCGATGATTTGCAATTTCGCGCCTTCTCTGCCGAATAATCTGGCCTATTATTCCAAATGCGACATTCCACTAAACGTGTTCCTACCGTATGGTGATATCTACTCGGCCGACCATTGAATTACCCAGCGGTACCTTTACTGGTGACTTATTAACGCTAGTAATATGGTTAGGCATGTAACAACACAGTGTCCGGTGATGTCACGTCAAGTGCGTTCACGCGGTGCTGGGTTGCTCCAAATTTTTCGAGTAGGGAATAGACACGAATTTCGTCGATTGTATACGAAACTAGAAGCGACCGATGAGTGGTGAAGATACGTACGTAATTAGTAAAAACGAGTACACGATAAAATGACTGCCGTGATCGCTTAAAAACATTCTCGACTTCGCATATAAGGTGTCCGTCGATAGTCAAATATTCGATAAAAGAAAGTGTGCTGGTTGTGTTACGCGGGCCCGCGTGCTCTCTAAAAATAATGAATTGGCTGTAAGATCGAAAGCGTCATTTCTTGAGACCGTCGCGTTTATATATTCTGTACATTGCGAGCATACGATTAAAGGGTACAGCTATACATATACACGATGTGCGTGCATATCAAAGCGTGGCAAGAATTCACGAACAATGGCAATGTTTAATGTTGCCGTGTTACAAAGAATTACTTCGCAAGACAGCTATAACATACGGTTACGGTAACAAGGTGATACCTTTAAAATCGGGCATTTGCTCCCACTCTTTTCTATATCTCTGCGTGTAGACACGCGTTTTGGCATGGCTAATTTTCCCCGTAGGGGTAAGCCGCTGACCCGTTGGCGTTAGGAGATTGGCGTGCATCACGGTTTCCGGAGTCGTGACCATAGCCAAATGCTTCTTCGTGTCCATCACCGTTGAGTGCAAAGGAGATCGATTTGAAATCGCCCGGATCTCAAAATACCCAAAATCGTAACACGAAATCACTAAATAGTTTTTTCCACGATCAAAGGGGGAGGGGGCACGCAACGAGTCTCCGAGATCCTCACCTAGCCTAGTACCGAAGTTAACTCCCTAGCAATGGCGGACAACTGCAACACTACAACAGTGCGCGCTGTGCGCGGTCCCCTCTAGCCCCCTCTGCTATTCGGGACCGAGTTATGTAGTGTACCGTACCAGTAGCGTACCTCAAATTACAGTGATGTATCTATTTCAGTTAGCACCCTGCTTTTTATACACATATGTATTTAACATACTTTCTTTTCTTCTACGCAGCAACAAATAAAAGATCTCGCCGTAGAAACCCTAAAATTTCTATTTACGCGCATCGTGAACGGTGTGTGTCGCGCATACATGTAAAAACATGAAATATTTAATTTTTCAACCGATCATAATTTCGCAACGTAATTTTGCATTCCCCAATCCACAGTTATTGAACAATATATTTACCGAGCCAGTTGAATTTATTCAGATTAATTTTAATAGGAAGTGATTATAAAACTGTTGGCTTCATAATTCTTTGATCGTGCGACATTTATAGATGTATTCCAACTGCGTGCTCTTTATTAAATTTATACGTACGATACTGTCCTACGATAGGGGTACGTAATAATTGGTTGAATCGATATGCGTGCGCATTCTAACGGGAACTTCACGTTAGGCGGGAAAAATAACAAATGATTCTAGATGGAAAAGATACGAGAGTTATCGCCTTGATCAGAGAGCAGGAAATAATTATTGAATATTTGTTATAAAATTTTAACATTTTTCAATCGAAAACTGCGAATACGATGTTCAGATTGGATTCAATATAATGTAGATACATATACTTTAAAATGTCATGAACGCCATCTAGAAGGCCCCGAATTAATGAATCAATAGTAGCGCACCCTTTACGAAAGAATCAAGAATTAAGAATATCCTTATTAGGGGAAACCTTTTA